CGCCCCCCGCGGGCCCCCTGCCCCAGCACTACCGCCTGGAGGACATGGCCCTGGCGCATCACTACCGCGACGCCTACCGCCACGCCGACCCCCGCGAGCTGCGCGAGCGCCACCGGCAAGCGGGTGAGTGACGGCGGTGACGCGGGGCAGAGCCGTGGGGTGCAGGGGGGAGCAGTGCAGGGCAAGGCGATGCAATGCGGTGCAGCGCGTGGTGCAAAACAGTGCAATGCAGTGCAGCGTGGTGCGATGCAGCGTGGTGCAATGCAGTGCAGCATGGTGCAGTGCACTGTAACAGAGATTTGGATCAACGCGGTGCAGCATGGTGAAATGTGGTGCAATGCGGTGTAACACAGTGCAGCATGGTGCAGTGCACTAACGCGCAATGCGGTGTAACGCAGTGCAGCATGGTGCAGTGCACTAATGCAGTGAGATTTGGAGCAATGCAGTGCAGCATGGTGAAATGTCGTGCAATGCAGTGTAACACAGTGCAACATGGTGTAATTTAGTGCAACATGGTGCAATTCAGTGCAATACGGTGCAATGCAGTGATGGAGCTCTGCTGACCAGCAGCATCTCCAGAGGCCACGAGATGGAGCAGGGGGCATCCCACCAATGCCCCGTGCGTGGTGGGGAGAGCCATGGGGACATCCCAGAACTAACCCCTGCCTGCCCCTCTCTTGCAGCAGTGCATGGGGCGCGCCAGGAGGAGGTCATCGACCACCGGCTCACCGACCGCGAGTGGGCAGAGGAGTGGAAGCACCTCAACAACGTACGTAGAGCCCTTGGCTGCTAAAGGGGCCCGGGCGCGGGCAGCTGCGTCCCTGCCATGGGCATGCACGGCCACCAAGCCCAGCACGCAAGAGCTTTTGGCCTCTGCGTCCCACGGGGTGGCGGCACCTTCAGGGCTTTTCTGCTGGGCATCCTTTGCTGGGAGCCGGCGCGTTGCACCCGCGCGAGCCCCAGCCCGGTGCGCCCCGTCCCTCACGGCGCCGTCGCCCGCAGCTCCTCAACTGCATCATGGACATGGTGGAGAAGACGCGGCGGTCGCTCACGGTGCTGCGGCGCTGCCAGGAGGCCGACCGCGAGGGGCTCAACCTCTGGATGGGCCGCCACAGCGACCCCGAGGACATGAAGAAGGGTCCCCCGGGGCGCCCTCCCGGTGGCACCGAGGCCCCGCAGCTCGGTAGGGCGCAGGGGGACCCAGGCGCGTGGCCGTCCTGCGTCCCACACTCCAACTAACAACGCCTGCCCCTCTCCCCCGCAGAGGCCCACCGGGAATTCGCGCCACGGCCCCTAACCGGCTACATGCCCGAGGCGATCTGGAGGAAGGCTGGTGAGTGCAGGGGGGACGGGGGGCTCGCCCGTGCACCGAGCTGCTGGGGGCTCTGCACTCATCTGTGCATGAACTGACAGGAGCTCTGTGCTCAGCCATGCACTGAGCTGGTGGGGTCTTTGCGCTTATCTGTGCACCAAGCTAGCGGGGTCTCTATGCTCATCTGTGACTGAACTGGTGGGGTCTCTGTGCTCATCCAAGCACTGAACTGATGGGTGTCTCTGCTTATCCATGCACCGAGCTGGTGGGGTCTCTGCACTCACCCATGCATCGAGCTGGTGGGGTCTCTGCACTTATGCCCACCCGGGGAAGCGCGGGGCATGTTTGCAGGGTGCAATCCCCCCATGGGGCAGCTGGTGCCTGCGCACGGAGAGCGTGCGGTCGGCGAGCTCGGCGCGCCGCGCGGTGCCCGGGGCTCTCCGGCAAAGCCGCTGCCTTCCTTCCAGAAGAAGCGGTGAACGAGGTGAAGCGGCAGGCCATGTCGGAGCTGCAGAAGGCCGTGTCGGACGCGGAGCGCAAAGCGCACGAGCTCATCAGCACGGAGCGCGCCAAGATGGAGCGGGCGCTGGCCGAGGCCAAGCGGCAGGCGTCGGAGGACGCGCTCACCGTGGTCAATCAGCAGGAGGACTCCAGCGAGGTAGGGGCTGCCGG